AGTCTTACTGAGGTCACTTCCTGAGCTTCCAGGGACAAACAAGGAGGAGCAGCCCATTATTGAGGGCGGCCGCAGCAGGTAGCATTGGCGGCAGGCCGCGTTTCCTTTCTCCCTTCTGGGCAATTAATTAAGCCGAGGAAAAGAAGAAGAAATACATAGCGAAAGCCTTTTACGCGTGTCTACTCAGAAGTAAGGGAAGTGTGTATACTATATAGGATTGCAGCAGGCTTCGGTTGCCTTTAATAGGAAATCCCAGCCTGTGCTAAATTCTTCCGACGTTGATGATGATGCCGTCCATCTGACTGGGTTGCCCCAGCCATTCTGGGCGGCTCCCAACAAAAAACAGTAAAAGCACAATACAACACCACGCACTAAAAACTTCCCTGAACTGGGCTGCCTTCAGATGAATGGGAAAAGATGAGCTTCGGATCGGAGTCTTGCTCTCTGCATCTGTTCCCATGGAGAGCAACTTCTCTTGCTCGGCCTCTCCGCAAGCCCAGGGCATCTAGGAAATGGAGAATTCAAGAAAGAAGTGGTTTCCCAAGGCTGCCTTGGAAATCGGTGTCATTTTAAAGAAGGAAATGCAGCGCGGGTGCATCGCAAGAAGCAACTCCGAAGCGTTAAAGTGACCTGACTGTGTTTATGAATACAAGCTTCCCTAAGGACTTTTATGGGTGGTTCGATAAAAACGAGCATTTCGCCATACCTAATGGGTCTGTATCCAGTGGTTTTAACCATTCTTCCTACCGTCTGGCAGGACGTTAAAGACCCCCGATCCACACATACAGGTCTCAACGTTTGGTGACTGTTCGCTAAACAAGCGTGTAAACGCTCTCTATGGGAAAGGACGGCGTTTTAGATTGTGCGTAATAATCAGGAAGCTTTCCCGTAGAGTTCGGGACTGATGCTGCAAGCATCCCATCCACGTGTGAATGCACCTTTCCTGATCTTGCCACATGGCTGTGTGGGCACTGCGGTAAGTTTGATGATTGTTTTATCCACCTTTAGGTCAAAGGAAAGACGTTTCCTGGGGGGGGGGGAGGGTTCAGAATTGCTTTGCGCAAGCAAAGGATCCAGCATTCAGCTCCTCCAGATCACCGCAAAGGGTTCCGTTTCCTGCCAGACCTGGACTGCCATCTTCACATAGGAATTGACACCGTGAGACTGACTTCGGAGCAAACCCCGCTTCAATTTGGCTATGTGGTTTGGATGGTTTGCTTAGAAAGCAGGGGGCGGCGGCTTTTCTTGGCCCAGGGGGCCGCATTGCTTTCGGGAGGCCACATGCCAATCAATGGTGGGGGGGGGCCAGAAGCAACAAGTGGGCGGGGCGAGGAAGGGGTCATTCCCCATTGCAAGCGGCCAGAAGTCGGAGTTAGCTCCGTGCACACGGAAAAACGTTTCTCCATCACCTGCCCTCCACGCAAAATGCATGATGACAGTTCAAGGAGACTTTAGAGCCAGGCAGAAGCGCCCCAGGAGGATCAAGAGCAGGGTCCGTGAGGGTGCGTGGCATAAGAAGAGCGCTTAGCCTGGGAAGCAGGTTAAGGGCCACATCTAGTGCATTGAAGGGCCGCGTTCTCTCTGGCTCCGAGGTTCCTTTTCTGTAAGCCCCGCAGGAGGCAGACGCTCACATGGACCTGCACATCGCAGCGTAGTCCTGTTGCTGTTTACTCAGAAGTAAGACCCACTTGCGAGCACAGAAGGAGCTGTCTTGTAGCTGCGTGGCTGCTACACACACGTTTCCCCTTCGTGTCAAAATGAGTTCAAAGGGAACTTTTAGGGAGGGAACGCAAGGTTGCCCAATCCCGCGCAAGCAAGCCCCACCAATGCCCGTGTAGGACTCGATCCTAGGAAACAGTCTGCATGGCGTTTCCAGACACGGAGTCCCTCCAACCTGCCGCAGCACTGAGTCTCGAGACACCCTAAACATCAGCAGATTTAGCTTGGCGTCAGGTTTGCAGCCCGTGGCACCCAATTTCTGACGCCGTCAACAGTCGGGAGAGCAACTCTCTTCGTTTCCCATTATATTCTCCTTGCGCAAAACCATCTGCCAGCCTTTCCTCAAAGAGCTGCTTTAAGCTAGACGCAGCGCTTCGATCAGCGTCTGCTGCCCTGGTCACCTGCTCGCCTCCTTGCTTGCAGGTGGGCAGCTGCGGCCTCTGTCGTAGCTTGGCATAGACTGCGCCCCCGGGCGAGTGAAATGAACGAAACAATTTGCAAGGGTTTGGAACAGCGAGAGAGCCGGCGTACGGAGGTCCTTCTCCCTCTCTCCCTCCCTAATCCCCACTGAAGAATGCAAGCGAGGAAGAGCCCTAGCTCAGTAGCAGAGCGTCTGCTTTGCATTAAGAGGGTCCCATGTTCAATTCCCGGCATCTCCAAGTAGCAGGGGCGCCATCTTGCCCTCAGGATTGTGGATGCCCGCTGCCGCACATGGATGTGCAACATCACACGGAGACACCTGCACCTAGTGCGTGTGATGCCATGCAGCCAACAGCCAGCGAGGCACCCTTCTATGCGGTGAGGGACTCGGACTTGGAGGCAGAGAATACTCTGCTTCCCCTCCCCAGCCCCACCTCCCAGAAAAAAAATGCCTCGCTCGCTGGCTGCGAAAGACAGAGCTGAAATACTTCTCTCCCTGCTGGCTTTTTTCATTGACTTTGTGGGTGCCTGTCCCCGCCCTAAATTATATTATTGTGGCTGCCCAAGCACCCACAGCCCCCTGAAATTGTCTTCCTATGCTAAGTAGGACTGAGAAAAAGAGGCCCCAAAGCAAAACTGGGCCTCTTTGGTGGTGGCGCCGCCGCCGCTCAATCTTTGGAACGCCCTTGCTGCAGAGACTCCGCACGTTTCCTTTTTTAGACGGCTGTTGAAGCCTCTTTGAAAGCAAGATTTGAATGTTGGTTATTCCGCAGCTTGTGGAGACTGTCCTGCTTTTCACTGAGACGGGACATCTCGTGGCGGTGCCGCTGCCCCCCCTTTACTAAATAGCTTGTTTTACGGTTCTTCCCAATGCTTCAATTATTGGGGGCGCGTAGCGGGAAGGGCGAGTGGGAAAGGTCGAGGAGCCCCTAATGAAATCCACAAGCCCCGCTCCTCCGTGGCTGTCTTCAATTTTAGCCAAATCATTGCCTTTCCCCAAACAGTAGCGAAGGGTGGGGTGGGGGGGGTGAAAGGGGGCACTACAAGAAGTAAGAACGAGTAATCCGAGAACTGGTCTTATCTTGTTAACCTTTAGATTGTGTAGGATGTGTTTAACGTCAGGCGCTTTGGAGAAGGATGTAGATGCCTTTTGTCTTTTTCTGCATGCTGAAAAGCCTCCCTGCTCTCTTCAAAAACAATGAGGATTCGGCCCATAAGGTTCTGCCCTCTTTCTCTCCCAGTTCTTCTTATTCTCTACCTCCCCGCCCCGCTTTAACTTTAAGGAACCTCTGACGCCAGAAGAAAACCCGGAGCATCTGGTTATCCCACAAACAGAAGGCAGGGTGGAGAGAGAGAGAGAGAGAGAGAGAGAGACTCCAAGCGCTATAACCTGCGGCAGGTCCACTGCAAGGCTCCTCCCCACTACTAAAAAAACTCTATTATTATTATTATTATTATTATTATTATTATTATTATTATTATTATTATTATTATTATTATTATTATTATAAAGGCCACGTGAGTAACACACTGCATCCACCACGCCATTAGGCAAGATGAAGTGGCAGACTTAAGGTGGTTCCTTCTGAGGAAGGACCACTTCAGATTGCTGGTGAGGGGGGCGGAATCAGATTTGAGAAGAAATCCCCCCCCCTACAAAGGACTCTGCGCGGAGCACATTAGTACACAATGGAGAAGAGGTTAAGGAAGTTTTTTTTGAGGGGGGTTGTGTAAACATCGGAGGCTATGTCCACAGTACCGCGCCCCATTCACACACCTGAAGTGGTACAGTCCACAATCCAAGCACCTCGTTCTGCCTAATGCGTCGAATTTATCGTGCGTAAAGAGATGGAGCCGAGGGGGGGTACCCTACTCTTTAGCTGCTCTGAGGCGTATAGGACGGCGCTTAGTAGGGCGGAGGAGACCTCTGCTCGGAGGTTTGCTACTTGTCTTTGGAGCGTAAATGGAGACCTCGAAGCTCTTATTCCAGCAGTAGGGAAAACACTTTGTGACGTGCTTTTAAAGCCAAACCAACTTAGTTCCTCCAACTAAAGTGGGACCACGCTTGTCTCGCCACATCTCACCCCCACCCCCTTTGGAAAGGTGGCCATATGCCACTCTCTTCTGTGCCTCGGCACAAAGACTTTTCCCTCTCTCACAAACACATATACACGCCACTCACTGAAATCGATGAGTTTTAGAATCTTGCCCAGTATTTTTGACAACTGAAAGTGACGGTGGTTCGGTGGCTTGGTGGTACGATTAATTTAGTGTCTACAATACAGGATGTTTTATTTTTTTATTTTTGGAAAAAGAGAAAAATAAACAAGAAGAAGTAGTTTATGCGCTGTCTCGCCCACTCGCGTGAGACAGATTTCTTTCCCACTCAACTCTGATTAAATATATTCACGTTCTGTGTTGTTGTTGTTTAAAAGCCATTCCTCCCAGATACGAACAAAGTTGATCATCCCATCCATCATCAGTCGATGAAGGAGCTGATCACAGAGAATTATGAGGTGGAACTGAACTGAACTGAGGTTGCACAAGAGATAAAAGCAAACGAGAGGAGAGTGACCACGGTTTCTCATTATTGATCAGCGATCAGTTCCCCCCTCCCTCCTGTTGTGGATAGAAACCGCGATTTTTTTTTGTGGTTGGTCGTAAACATGTAACTTTGGGAAGTAATTTTTATTCCACTCCTAGTTCCTGTTTTTAACTGAATGGCATCGAAATTCCAAGTAAGGCGTTCTTAGGGTCGGGCTGCAAATAACCAGCTGCAGGGGCAAAGGAGCCCATTCCTAAGGGCCGAGGTCCCTTCGCCCCCGCCCCATAAAATATTTTATCCCCCCCCCAAGTTGATGGGCATTGCCATTCAAATATTTTTTTCGAGTTGACATTCCTGTGCAAGAGGAAGATGGGCTTAGCGAGACAATCGACTGGGAACTTCACCTGCGGAGGCGGCGCGGTTGAAATGGGCGCCATCAGCCGAGCAAAACCACTAACCTCCTTCATTTCTGGGCGAAGGGGCGGGGGCTTGCGCAGGAGACTTTCCCCCGCGTCGATTGCGTCCTTGCCCTTTTCAACCCCGGGAATAAAGTCTGTGCAGTGATTCTCCCCAAGTCTTTACAAGGTGATTTCCAACCCTCGCCTTGTCTCCCCTGTTTCTTTGGCCTCGGTGGATCTCTCTTTCAGGGGCATTGCTGTCATCCTAAGGAAGGAAGGAAGGAAAGAGCAGCAAGAGTGAATCCCGTTCCTACAAGCACCTGATTCTTTTTTAATTGAGTTAAGATGGGGCCCGTGCTTCTGCAATCCTCCCTGCTTTCCTTAGAATAATCCTTGTGTTTCAAGTTCCTTTTTAGCTGGCCAAGCCAGGTCTTCTCTCCGCATCCGCGGATCAGATCAGATCACATCAAGTTGACGATTGAGAGAGAGAGAGAGAAGAGAGAGGAGTTATCTTTAATGGGAAGGCATCAGACATCCCGTAGGCTAGCAACAGTGGTCTTTCCCCCCCTTTAAAATATATATATATATATATATGTATTTCAATATACACAAACACACAGAGCGCGCACTTTCAGACAAGAAGAGGAGCGCGCAGGAATCGAGGCTGAGGCGCTCTTGTAAATCAATCCACCTAGACCTCAATCCAGGCAAAGCGAAGGAAGGTTGCATTGTGCGCCAAACAGCGTCTCCCCCCCCTTGATGCGTCTATTGGGGAGCGGGGGGTGGGGGTGGGGTGGGGAGGAGACGTTTGGCAGCTCCCTTCATCCCTCGTTTCCAATCACGCTCTTGGCTCCCTCGTTTTTCTTTACCGCAAAGTCTCCCTCACCTGATCACTGATGGAGTGCTAAGCAGGCAGACCTCGCAGCTTTGCGAATACTGGCAGGTAGGGTCCGATTTCATTATTATTAATTAATTTATTTATTATTATTGCTTTTCATTTGCTGGGAAGGGAAATTTCTATCTATTAGTATTACTACTAGCCGCATTTCTACATGGGATTATAGATCCCCTCAAAAGCAAGGTGCTGTGGTAAGATGCCAGAGGTTAGACATTTGCGCCAGTTCTCCATAGAGGTGCGGTGGAGATTGCGATTGCGGGGCGGCGGGCGGGAAGAGAGAGAAAGGAAAGAGAAAGAGCGGAACTCTCATTCCCCACCCCCACCCCCCAATTAGCTTGTTTATTTTAATTAACGCAGGAATCCTTTGCGAGAAGGACCAACCTCCTCCTCTTGGTTACATCACCGCGTCTCTCCCTTCCGTCCCTCCATCCCCAAACCCATCCCCCTTTCTTACCCCTTAAGGAGGAACCACTTTGGGGGCCCCCAAATAAACACCCCTTTCTAGAGCTCTTCAGGTAATACGCTGCCTTGAACGTTTGCTACGGATCTCAGGGTTGTTGCTGCTAATAACGATGATGATGGCGATAAAAATAAGAACAATAACTTTTACAACAGCAACCTGCATCTCCTCAGGTGTGTTCCCATTGGAGGCATGGAGACGTGTTTTGAGTGGGGGTGGGGGTGCCTTATCTGGACAGGATCCGGTCTGTTGTGGAGCTTAGAAGTCAAGCTGGCAGGTTTGGGGGCTGCTTCAAGGGATGAAGGGGTTTCTTTGAGCCGCGGGGGTTTTGCATCTGGACTCGCCAGAAATAAAACCAGCCCTCCTTTTGCGATGTGAATTTTTACGCGCTCCCCGTGCGCCTTTTCCCTACCTCGGTTCGCCTCGCCTCGCCGGCAAACTGGCTTAAGTCGCAGGCGGGCGAGGTATACAAGGCGAGCTTCCATTATTAGCTTCAGAAGCCCTTCTCTTGAAACCCCCTTCGCGTTAGAGACCCGGCCGCCGCCTCCCCCCTTTTTACGCTTCTCTTTCTCTGGCTGGGGGCTGGAGACCTGCAATCCGGCGCCAGGGGCTTTTCTGTTCGCTTCTTAAAAGCCCCTCGTTGCTTTGCTCCAAATCATCCCTTTTTTTTCTTTCAGTTTAATCCGGTAGGAGAAAACTTTTATTTCTCTTTCTCATCTGAATATGGGCATCCTTGGAAGGTTTCTTTTGCTTCTTGCCCGTTGGTCCCGGCACAAATGAGTAATAGTTTTTAAAAAATAATAATGAGGGAACCTCAGTAAACAGCAAAAAAAAAGTGGTTCTTGAGACAGCCGGAGGAAACAGACAGGGGAAGGAAGGCGAGCCGAAGCTTAGTACCTCTGGAACCTGAAATTGAAAAAACAACAACCCTGAAACGGAGTCCCCAATTAAGACTAATAAGAAGGGGAGACTTATCTTGGAGGGACTTTTGCCACGTTTGCCTTGTTTGGCATTTTGATTCCGTTCCGGCGCTTGATGTGCGTGTGAGATTCAGGAGGCGACTACCAAAACAATTCTGCTCCTTCTGGGCGCTTCCTTTGTTTTTCTAAAATATAGGTGTGCTGCGCTCTTCAATACAATGGGCTTGAACCAAGCTCACTTAAGCAAGTCCCACTGATGTCAAGGAAAGGATCTGAGCACGTGCTTCGTTGAATCCAAGGAAGCCCTGAACTTTTGTGCTCACTAGGTGCCTGTAAGATGCATCTTCAGTGGAGCTTACTCCCATGGAAGTGTGAGTAGACTTGCACCCTTAACCGTAATATTAAGGGTCCCTTCAGCCTATACATCTATGATTAAGAGTGCAATCCTTTGCCAACTCAGATGAGAGTAAGCCCCACTGAAGACACCCTGGGACCTTTTGCTTTCTCAATGCCATCATCGCACTCTGGAGCCAACCTGGAGACAGTTATGTTTCATCGCCAGCCAGCTCTGGAGGCCCCGAACAGGGATTATAGCGTTCCAAACATAGCTAGATCTATCGTTAGCTCCCTCTGGCAGAGGAGAAGATCAGGAAGCGGTGTCTTTTGAAAGGCTGGGGGACGTTTGAAATCCAAGATTCCCCTGAAAGGAGGAATCTGTTGGTGACTTTTGGTCCACAGTCACTCACACAATGAAGAGTGACTCGCCTTGTCCCTTTACGCAATGATGTGGATAGAATCAGTCACCCTTCTGAGTCTCTCTCTCTCTCTCTCTCTCTCTCTCTCTCTCTCTCTCTCTCTCTCACACACACACACACACACACACACACACACACACACTTTCAGGTCCCCCACTGCTCTATTAAAACGGAGCCAGGCTACTTTCTGTTCAGAGGCAGCCAGTGCGTAGAGCAAAATGATTAGCCGTCTCCGCTTTCGGGTTTCCTTATCCTTCCTCTGTCTAATTATTTGTTGGTCAGTTATTAATCCGCACGTGGATACTTTGTCCTAGAGCCAAAGACAAGCCCCCTTCACGCTGTAATAGGCTTTAGACCCTCGCCTGTGGCGGAACAGGGGCCGGACGGAGGGTTCCAGTGGCTCCCCTCCCCATCTCCTCTCTTCTCTTGATAATCGCTTGGATTTCTATTTTACTTCTTTAAACCCTCTCGCCGGAGCATGTTCCTCGCCTGTGCCAAAGCCCGGCTGCTTCGCAGGCTCGCCGCCAACGGTTTTGTTGCAGAGGCTGGGGGAGCCGTTTACCGGGGGATTAGCCCGAGCCGAACAAATCGCCCCCATCCATCCTCCACGCGCCTTGAAGCGCGGAGTGCAAAATCTGGAGCTTTTGTGTTTCACTACACCCCCGTATTCCGCTCCCTCCCCCCCCAAAAAACCCCTTCTCCTCCTACGACAATGGACAAGCATGATGGCCGTGTGAAAACGACGCTTGTCACTATCTACCATTTAACGCTCCGACAAGGAGCGCCGATTATCCGTTATATTCAGATTCTGTTGTAAGAACAGGCTTGGTTCCCTCCCCTTTGGCGCTTCATCTATACGAAACGATAATTATGATAACAAACGCAACAACGATAGGAATCCACTCTGTTTGTTATTAATTATGATGGTGGCAATAATTATGATAATAAATAAATCCGCGCTTATACAGAGCGTCCGGGAGCTTCTGCGCCCAGTGGCTCCACAATGCTTGACACCCCCCAAAAAATGTTTTTCCTAATTTGGGGCGTCTACAAGCTCTGTTTCCCTGCAGGCCCCAGATAGGGAAGGGCCTTCTCTTCCAAACCCAAAGTATATGCCAACAAACAGGGCAACCCTCGTTTAGCCCCTGGCTTTCACCTTGCGCGTCCTCTAGGATTTCCCGAGCGCGGTTGTATCTCTCCGTCTCTCCCACCAGCAACTTGTCTCCTCCTGCCCCCAATTGCTCACATACCCGGGGGGTATTTTGCCAGCTCTTCCTCCGAGACGCCTCCTTCGCCCCCTCCAGCCTTCCTGCAAGCGGCAGCCCTTTCCAGCTTCTCGAGGAAAAAAAGGGAGATCTGGTAAAAAGAAATTGAAGGAGATTCACCTTGACTGCTGAAAGAAAGGCCTTCGGAAACTCGCCGGTTCTTCGCAGGAAACTCCTCAACATCCTTTCTCCGGGGGAAGACCCGGGAGGTGCTGCTGTCTAACACAACACACCTTATGGCGAGAATCCTTTGCGCCCTTGACCTGTGAGGAAACCCCCATTAAAGTCGGCGTGGGGTTCGTTTTTGGGCAGAGAAGCATAGGATCGGGTTGCGCCCTTGCGCAAGAGCAGCAGCAGTGTTTGGGGTTGCTTCCGAGGACGGTGGGTTTTGGATGAGTGTGTTTAGATAAGGTGGGGACACTCGGGTCTCCTTGGCTGAGTTCTTGCAGAAAAGGAAACACGTTGCTGTCATTTCTGTAGGTGTTTATCCCCACCCCACCCCCTTGCAACAACACCGCGAGGTAGGTTTTGTGTGAAGGATCAGGCACCGAAGGGAGTCGTCTCAAAACTATCGAAACTTGACCCAGAACAACTTTAGGGTTGCTTTTCATGAATGAAGCGTGCGTGCCCAACTCTAGAGAAAAGGAGGCGGGGTTTTGTTTACGTTATTATTTCGCTCCCCCCCCCCGTCTAAATTTAGGACACGATCCAGCCAAAGTGAAGCTCTGTCAAGATCCTCATTGGTTTCAAGGGGAGAACTCTCCCTGGGCTTTTCAGTTTTCAGTTTTGCGCCTTAAGAGTGTAAGCACCTAGCGGCTGCAGCGCCTCGGAAGGACCCAGCGTTTTTTGTTCTGCTCCTGCCGCCGTTCCGGCTTTACCTTCAAGAACAAGCAAAGGAGTCTGGAGGGGGAAGGGAAGAGAAGCAAGCAACTTCCCAAGTGCTCTCGCTTTTGATTCCAGACCCAGGAAGGAAAAGAGCTTCAGCCCGGAAATGGTTCTTCTGGGGTTCTTCTGACCCGCTTCCAGGAGAGAAGAGGGAGCCTTCAAATCCTTTCCAGAGCGCTCACCCGGAGAACTCACTTTTCTAGAGATCACTTTTTCCATCCGAATCTCCAGTTCCAAGACAGAAAGATGAAAAGGCGAAAGCAAAGATAGGCAGACAGGCAGCATAGTTAGACCGTCATCATTTGGGAACCAGGAGATCAACTGCGCGTTGATGGTTTAAACTGCAGGTACCCGGTCTGCAACCTGGGCTTAGTGTTGCACCCTAAACATGTTCACTTAAAAGCAACCATGTAAGTGTGCTTGGGGACCTAAGAAGAGTCCTACTGGACATCGGACCAGCGACCACCCAAAGCCAGCAGCCTGCTCTCACAATGGCAATCTAGATGCCTCTGGGAAGCCCGCAAGCTGGACCTGGTTGAGCCTTCGGCGCCCTGACTTCGAGCGCAGCAGGACTTCGAGTCGCCGACCCTTATGCGCAGAAGCAGCCTAGGAGTCTCTCTCTCTGTGGAGAGAATGCAAAGTATGGTTCGTGTCACAAGAGGAGAGTGGCTGGAGAGGGCGGCGAGGACGAGGCCTAGCCCAGCGCCCCAGTGAGGAACAGAAGAATAGCTTTAGGTACCTTACCATTATTGGAGCCCAGCATTCTGTCTCCAACTGCGCTCGGTCAAGTGTCTCTTCGCGCTCAAGAAGCGCGAGGGAGACGGCGGCCTGTACCATTTTGCTGTTGCCCCTAGCTGGCTTTAATTTTAGCAAATAACAAACAAACAAACAAACAAACAAACAAATGACGGTGAAGATAATATATACAGTATATGTAAAAACCATTTATCCCATCAATGGGCATCATGTGACTGAAGCATTCGGTATCCTGTCCTGACTGTGAAAGTGGCTTTCCTAATGAGAGTCAAACTTGCCTTCTTGCTTGTCAGTTGCCAGTATTAACCCGCCCTTCCATTACATCAAATGGAAATGAATTTCACGGTTGCTGTTGTTTTTAGTGCATATCGCCTTTCAGCTGGAATGCCAAAGGCGCTTGACAGTAAAACCTTATGGAGCTTTAGAACGAAGCTCCTTTTGACTCCACAGCTCCGACCTCTTAAATATCCACATCCCCTCTTTTGACCCCGGATCTGTAAAGGTGTTTAAAACAACGAGAACAAGTGTGGTTTTTATCACCTACTAAACGGTTTTAGACCTGGCGGTTCAGGTAACATCCAAACGACAGAGCGACCCGCACTTTTCCTGCTAACAAAATCTGATCCGTCCCGTCAAGGAGCAAATCTTAAACTGCCCCTCTTTTTCACTCCTAGCCTCACATTCCTGTAGATCAGCTTAACCCTGTCCGTGTCTGCTCAAAACACAGCTCCAGTCGTGGGCTGCAATCCTGTACGCGCTTCCCGGGGAGCCAGCCCCATCTAATGCAGTGGGCCTTTTTCAGAAAACGCACTTGAGGTTGCGCGCTTAGGCTGCAATCCTACGCCCACGGAAGAGCCTGTTCATGGCGTTCAAGTGGACATGTTTCTCTAGAGACGTGCCTGACTACCACGGAGAGCGGAGGCCGCAGCCACACTTATATGTGGGTCCGGAGAGGCTTGAGCCACAGTGGGACTTCCGAGGGATTCCCCGGAACGAGCTCATAGTGCTGCAGGTTCTGCTCCATTCAAAGCCATCGCAATTCTCCTCTAGGATTCCAGAGGGGCGGCATTGCGCCCAAGGAAAGTCTTTCCATTGTAACCTTTTCCGGCCATCCAATCTCTCTCTCTCTCTCTCTCTCTCTCTCTCTCTCTCTCTCTCTCTCTGTGTGTGTGTGTGTGTGTGTGTGTGTGTAGGTCCTGCCACAAACAAGCTTGACCCGTGAAAAGTCCTAGGTCTGTCCTTTCTCTCTCTCTCTCTCTCTGTTCCTCCACCGGTTTCTGCGTCTTAGATTCCCCTTTCAATGGGAGATTTCTCTCCTAATTGCATTACTTACAGTAAATAGACAGCCCTGCTGTTCTGGGCTGTGACGTGCCAACAGAAAGAGAGGAATTCTTTGTGTGTGTGTGTGTTTCAAAAAATTATAATCCAAGCTTATTTCACTTGATTGGCTTTCTCTTCTCGGTTCGAATGTGTTTTCTGAGTTGCTTTCTGCCTTTCGACCGGCTGATGCAGAGGGAGAGACCTATCCAGACGCAAAGGGCGCCCTTTCCCATCCCACCCTCGCGCCCCACGACTAAAGAACCACTAACAAACAGTGGGGGAAGGAAGGTTATCTCTTCCAGCCCTGTAAGGTCCGTGGCTTGGAAGGAAAGTGTTTGGGGGGAAGGCAGTGGAGGCTTCTTGATGTCATTTCAGGAGTCACACTAGACTCTGCGGCGGGTATTTCTGAAGGGAGACTTGCTTCAGGGGAGGTCAGGAAACAGCCGGTCGGGGCAGCGGTGTGAAAAGTCAACAGGGAGGCGAAAAAGGGAAATAAATGTACCAAAGAGAGGGGAGAGAAAGAGATGAGGATTCCTGTGTTGGCCCTAAACCTATACGATTTTCCCAAGGTGGAAGGGTCCGGCAAATGCCATGGACCAAGCTGTGTCCGGAGGGCGGAAACAGCTGGCTTCCCAGGTGCGCTTTCCTTTCTGCCTGGAGAAGAGCGCTGTGGGACTGGAAGCTTGCGCCCCACAGCTGAGCAACTCCGCTGATCCAACGAAAGGGGTTTTCTCGATCACATGATAATGGCTGAAAGCCATTAAAGACTTGAATCCTCAACTACTAAACCCCACCCCATTAGGGAGTTCCCTAAACCTGCTAGTCCTTACTTCAAATATGTTCTCAAATTGAGGTTAATGTCTTTCTCGGTTCAGTTCTTCCCTTACTCTAACATTATACCACGCGTCCCCTGCCTTTTTTATCTTAGGAGGTCTGGAATTAGATCAAACCCATACTTTTAAACACTAAAACGGTAAGAAACAGAGAAGTTTCTTCTTTCGGGTCTGCCTACGAGAGATGAAAAGGGCTCCTCCAGAAAAGGCGTCCCCCAACACGCGCAAAGTCCCGCTTCCCGACCCCCAACCTGCGAGATTTCTTAAATCTGCTCCCTCGGTTCTTTCGCGTGGAATTGGGGGCCATGGAAGCGAAACAGGGGCCCCCTCCGGAGTAACCGACTTGCCACTCTTGGGGGCGCGATCCCGCTCAACGCAAGCATCTGTGAGATTGCTAACCGCGTAAAAATGTGCGCAGTGCGATCCTGTGCACCTTGGCCAGGAAGTCGGTCGGTGGATTGATCTTAAAACCCTCCCTCCCTCCCAAGAAGGTGCGCGCAGGATGGCAGCCACGTGCTTCCCCGGCTTGCTCAGCTCAAGGTGGGACTTGGGGATTTGCTTAAGGTGGAGAAGATTGTGCCTCTTTCTTTCTTTCCAGCAAAGTCCCTCCAAAGCCCAGATTCATTCAAAGAAATCCGCCTTATTTCTCTCTCACTTACACACACACACACACTTTCCCATTGTTAAAATGCGTTTTGAACTTGAGTACTGAACGCCGGATGGGGATTTGAGGAAGGGAGATGGACTGGAGGAGGAGGGGTGGGGGTGAGGGTGGGAGGAGCAGGAATACAATCTGGGCCCACACAAGCCAGCCCCCTAAAAAAAAAAGACCCCCTCCCTCCTCGTGGTTGCAGGGGGGGGGTCTGGCTCTCCCCCCCCTAGGAATATTTGTCACCGCTCTTGCCCATCTCTGTGGGGGCTGAGAGGAGTTTGACAGCTCTTTGTTGTCTGTATAAGAAGGGAGTTTGCGGGGAGGGAGGGAGAGTTGGGGGGGGGGAGCTGGTGGCAGCTCGCGGGCGAGAACTCCTCCTCCTGAATTATCCAAAATGGGTTGGCTTTCGCCTCCAACAAATTGGACGGAGCCGCAGAGAGCAGCAGTCCCAAATCCGACCTAGAGGCAAGTGGGAACTTTTCAAGCAACCAGGGATCGCTGCTTGGAGAAATAACCGACCCCCCCTTCCCCTGCACCCCCCCTTACAAACCCTTCTTTGGTTTTAATTTGTGCATTTCTTTGATTTTTATAAGTATATTAATCTCCCCTTTTGGGGGCCATCATAGCTTTTGCTCACCTCCCACTCCTACAAAAAAACAACAACTCCCGTTTTTCTAGTTCAGGAAGCTGCAAGACAAGTCTCCGCTTCGTGGGTTTTTGCTTCGTCTCTGCTCTGCCCAATCCCTCCTTTCCCCCCTTTTATTTCTTCTTCTTCTTCACACTTTTTTCTCTCCTTCCTCCCTTTTTTTGGGGTCCGGCGTCGTTTCCCTCCTTGCCCGCCCAGGAAGGCGCCTTCTCCTTGCGCCACGAGGCGGGGGGCAGCCCCGCAAGAGACCCTCCTCCTCCTCCTCCTCCTCCTGCTCGCCGTCCGTCCGTCCCGCCTCGCCTGCCTTCCGGGCCCGGAGCCGCGACGCTGCTTCCCCGCGGGCTGTCTCGCCTCTTCTGCCGCCGCCGCCGCCGCCGCCTCCCGGCGCTTCGGATGCTGTAGCCCAAGACTCTGGGGCCTGTATATGGAAATAGTGGGGTGTCGAGCCGAAGGAACCGCTTGCCCTTCCGCTCCCCAGCCATGCTTTTCCACGGCATCTCCGGAGGCCACATCCAAGGCATCATGGAGGAGATGGAGAGGAGGTCCAAGACCGAGTCGCGCCTGGCCAAAGGCGCCCAGATGAACGGCCGGGAAGCGGTAAGGAGTCATAGGGGCATAGGGGGTGTCGGGGGAAGACGCGGGTCGCCAGCCTGAGGGACGGGAAGGGAATGGACGAGGCAGAGCGGGAGAAAAAATTAAAGTGTAGTTAGAAGAATCGATCAACCCAAATATTGCAGGGGCATCGGAGCCTCTTGTTCCCATTCCCGACAGTTTCTCCTCGCAAAGTCAGCTTTTTGCTTGTTTACCTCCAAGCCGAGCTTGCCCAGATCGCGGGCTTCCCTGAAATCTGCGAAAGTTGCAGTTTTAAAAAGAGCCTTTCTCCACTTGGAAATTCGGGAGGGTTTTTATTCGGCCGTTTTGAATAGCCACATTTCACTATCTATATATTGCAGCAAGAGCCTACGAATATTGTGAAATCAGCTTGAGTTTTCATTCCAAGTAAGGTTAAGGAAGAGTTCAGTCCTGTTCGTGGTGGTTTTGTTTGTTTGTTTTTGTTTCGTTTTTTTTTAAAATGCGATGCAAATAAAAACGAAAGCGGGATCCAATCAAAAAGTCCAGCCCGTCTGAATTAAGTAAAAACATATAAATTTACTAGAGAAGGCGCTCCCCTTGAGTTGAGTGGGACTTACTTCCGAGTAAAGAATCTCAAGTTTGTTCTGAATCATTGCAGGTTGCGGTTAAAACCATATATTTACCCCACGCATGCATGCACTTATATATACAGTCCAGTATAAGCTTAGCAGCCGGGTCCTAATAAAACGCATTTATTCGGAAGCAAGTCCGGGAGCATTTGCCCTTTGTTATGTTATGGATTAAATCTGATTGCAACAGGGCTGGAAGTAATGTTTAATATCTCTGTGTCTAGCAAGAAGCGGAGGCAGTAATTTGCGCGCTGCCGTAATTTCTACACCTTGGCGGAGTTTAACTCCCACCCGAATACCCAACATCTTGGTACCAGCATCGCCATTTATATAAACGCATTTTCTTTGACTTTCCCCCCCCAAAAAAATTCGGACGAGATTTCCTCCCGAACAATCTGCAAAGGCCCATTTAAAGTCCAACATAACTATCAACACATAGTGTTTGTGGAGAGGGTGAAGAGACCCGACTTAAAACGAAATAGTCTCTTTCTAAACTCTTCGAATGCTGGGAAGGAATTCTTTTCGGCTAATATATAGATTACCTTCGCTTTTCACCCCTAACGGCGCAGCTTGGGGGGGGGGCGGGGAGTACAGCTCCCAAACAGAACAGAAATCGGTAGTGATATTAAGTTTAGAGAAAGGGCTGGTTCTCTCCGCCGCCGCCGCCCCCCCCCCCCGCTTCCGGAAATGGTAATAAAAATGTCTCATAATTTTCACCGGAATTGCATTGAGGAGCATGAAGTAAATCCAGAGCTGCACGCAGGCTAAGCCGCTTCCTTTCAGATGGTTTAATTCCCCGAGAACTCTCTCTGTGTGTGTAAGATGAAGGAAGTTTCCTTTTGCTCCTAAATCTCAGAGCTTCCGTTGAGCACCCACAATGAACCGAAGGAATGGCCTGCAGAAAACTCAGCCTCGCCTCTTTGAACTGGCCTCTGGGTCCTCTCCCCATCCCCCACCAAGTTCATTAAGGAATTGGAGCAGGCTGGGGGGGGGAGGCTCTGCTTGGCATTTGAAGCGCTTCCCTCCTCCCAGGGCTTTTTTGGGGGGTGGGGTAGGCAGATGATTTCCCCTTCTTCTCTTTTTGGGATTCAACGGTATTCGTATTTTTAATCAGCCGGAGGCTTAGTGGCGTCTCCCAAAAGAATCCTTTCTCTGCACTCCTCTGATTTTCTTTCTTTCTTTCAAAAGATAAACTTTTGGAGAAAACAAAAGCAACACACAAACCCCCTGCATCCATTCAGATTTTCATAAGATGTCGTCGGCTTGGGAGAGCTTCTCCCGCCTTCCTGAGTCCTGACTGATCGCATTTTGGATGCAAAAATCCAGGCGATTTTATATATATTATAGAAGTGGGAGATGGGTGGGAAACGACGTTTAGTCTTTATTTGGCATTTCCACCACTCTGAAGAATTTGACCTTTCTTTCCAAACTTCTGCAATCCGGTCCAACTCAGAGATGTTAGGCCCGGTGTGATAAAAGGGATTTTCTTTCCAGTAAACATGGTTTGGATGGAGCTTTTAAAATCCTACTTTTAAACTGGAGCCAGACTTCCTCGGGGAAGCCGCCCTTCAGCTCCCCCCCTCTTTTTTTGGTAATGAAGTCTTACAGACCGAGTATTTTTTAAGGCTTCGCCTCTGATTATTTGCAAGAGAACGGAGCTGCTTTCGGTTTGCCGCCTTCAGGTCTTGCTTGGGAAGAAGCTTCTCCTTTGTAGGAGGCAAAAAATAAAAATAAAATAAAAAGAGGGAAATAAAAAGATCCTGGCGGTGGGCACAAAAACAGTGAGGGGGGGAGTTAAACTCGGTATCTTTGGAGCACAGAAAATCGCAGAAGTAAAACCTTGCTTTACAATCCGCTCCCTAAGTCCAGATCTTCCGCGGTAAAAGAGCGACTTCTTCGCATTTCTAAGGCCGTCCGGCTGAAAGTCCCAAGTCTGGGTCCTTGGAAAGCGCAGAGTCTGGAAAAACGCGACGCAAAAGCCACCCAAACCGCCTTGTAGTGGGAAATGAGGCCATGGCTAAGCAATAGCCTTTGGGTGCTGGAAACGGCGAAACCCCTGCAGATTCTCCTGGCAAAAGTTATTTAGGGGTTGCCCTTCCTTGAGACCCACTGCGTATGGCCTTAATGAGGGTTCGTGGGGGTCCTGGGTGGGTCTGATCCTGCAGCCCTGCTTTGTTCCCCTCCCTCCCGGAGTTGTTGTTGAGTGTGGCTCTCCTTCCGCAGAATATGCCCCCGCTGAGCCCGGAGAAGCCTGCCTTGTGCGCCGGCTGCGGAGGGAAGATCTCCGACAGATACTACCTGCTGGCGGTGGACAAGCAGTGGCACCTGCGGTGTCTTAAGTGCTGTGAATGTAAACTGGCGCTGGAGTCCGAGCTCACCTGCTTCGCCAAGGACGGCAGCATTTACTGCAAGGAGGATTATTACAGGTAACGCACCCCAGGGAGGGGGGAAGAAGGGACCCCGGTTGGGGAGCGCCACGTGGCCCTCTGGGACTGCAAAAGACCGCCCCCCCTCCTCCCGACCAGTAAAGGTGCCTCCACAATCCTGGCCCAATTGGATTTTCCTGGGAGAAATCAACCAGGAGCCGAGGAGCAACTTCACACGTGCATGATTTCCACTTGGGTCGCGTTACAGATACGGGTTTATCAGTCTGCGCTGGCTCAACTGCTTACACACTGGGCTTCAACTGCCCCGCTGGAAATGACTTTCACGTGTGAATGGTGGAAACCACCCCCCCCCCAATGTGGGAAGCTCGGCAAGAGCTTTCATGTCCTCTCCGATTGTTGTGGTCTTCGAGGGCGTCGCTTCAGGCGCTTAGATGCTGGGGTGGCGAAATCAAAGTGACGCACGTGATGCCCGCGTGTAGCACCGAGCGTGTGTGTGTGAAATGTTGCGGCGCGGAAACGAACAGACATCGAGTCATATAAAGGTCCTTCTCTAGATTTCAGAAGGAATGCGTGCATCACTTGGGTGGGTGTGAAAGAAAGCGCGGATGGCAGCGCTTGGTCTGCGAGGGGACCATTCACACGTGCAAAATAATCGCCCCTCGAGTTGCGCACGTGTAAAGGCGCCCTCAAAGGCCTCGGCTTGAGTGCAAAGGACAGCCTAGAAGAGGGCTGTGAGAGTGCAAATTCGGCTATCACCCCCCCGCCCCAATAATTCCTAGTAGAGGAAGGGCAGCCTTAGCTCTCTCACTTCCGCACGGGACGCTGGCAGAGAAAGTGCCTCCTCTTCCAGAGCATCGCGATACAATTCAAAGCAGCGGGAGGGAGGCTTGAAAAACGGTCCTGGGCATGGGCGGGATATATCCTTCCCAAAACATTCCTGCCAAAAAACCCCCCTCCAACACGCACACTAAGCTGTGTGTTCATCCGAGTTTGCTTCCAAGCCTGAATCGGGTCGCCGTTTTGCAGCTCAAGAAGCCAAGTCTCCTTGCGTTGAATTTCAGTGAGATTTGTTGGGCTGCAAACCCTAACCCTGCGAGCTTGGAAGAAAGCCCCATCGCACGATTCAACTGTTAGGATCGCAACAGTCCCTGTTGAGCAGCAAGGCTGCTGCCCTCATTAAGCCGGCTGTGTCATATACTGCGGGCCTTGAAACCAGCGGCGCGGGCCACACTGCTGGTCCGGAGGAGACGCTCTCCTGAGCCCGCAGCAGGCGGGCGACAGCTTGGCCTGGCCTGGCCTGGCTTGGCTCTCCATCCTGCAGCTCCGCCATCCCCTCGCTGTTGAACCGGATCCGGCCCTCCTGCTGGGCAGGCTGGCCGCGCGCTCTTGTTAGCGCTGAGCTGCCCTCAGACAAGCCTTGTTTGTGTGTCACCCCCCCCCTTGCTTAAAGAGACGCATCCGGATTTCGCCAGGTCCCTCCCAGCCTTTCCGAGTGAATTATAACACTCCTGTTTACACCCCGGCCCGAAGCTAGAACAATTGCCCATTGATTTCCAACCAAGAGAAACTGACTCCAACTTGAGACGTGCGCCTGGAGCAGAGGTGCAATCCGGAGTCAGTGCCACTGACCGACTTCGAAGGGATGGGGCATAGGGTTGCAGTTAATGAAATCTTCCAAAAATTATGGGAAAGGGTATTGTTTACTTGCCCCCTCGCCCCCCCTTCTCCCTCTCCTTTTCTTTGGACAGCTTTTGAGATCCCCAGAAGGAAACCTAAACTTAAAGACGATGTCCCGCTGTATTCTCAGCTTTATTTCGCAGCCTTTCCGCAAAACGAATCTGCTAAAAGGCTCAGATGATCCTGATAGAGCCAAAATAAATATGCGTGCCTAGAATCACACCAGCTTCCGGGCTCCACAGAACTCCTCCCCAGAGAGCATGATCAGTGTATACCGGTGCAATGTGTGAAACTCTTCCTCTCTCGGGATGGAATGAGCAAAGTTAGCCTATTTCGGAGCAGGGAAGGAGGAAGCGTGTTCCTCCGCCCTTGGGGACAGATTGTCTTAGTTTGGAGGTCCTGCGGTTGTCAACTCAGAGCCTGCTCCCTGCTCTCTACCTCCCTCTTCCAGTCGAAAAAGGACGAAACTGATTGGGGGGGTGGATAGCGAAATGTCCTGGAGCATCAGATTTGGGTTTCGAGAGCTATGGAGATTTGTCAGGAGGAACTTCCAGTATATCTAGATTCAGAGCTTTTTTAGGTTTCCCACTTAATTGAGCCTGTCAGCTTAAACCGTCGTAAAGAGCACGTCTGAATGCGTGCAAAGTGCAGTTGCCACTAAAAAGGCAACCGTGGAACTATCATATCTGAGGTTTCGGTGCGCAGTTGAATCCCAGAGACTCCTCGACCCCCTCCCAGCAACGTGTATGAGTTGACTCCTTGCCTGATGGGGGGCGTCACAATATTTGGTTCTGTGGGCTGTCTCCCTCTTTCATTACAAAAACGGAGATGTGGGCTGACGTGCTAAGCAAACCTCAAAAGTTTAGTCGATCAACTGGTTAGATGAATCGTTGAATACGCTTGAAAGATGCATGCCTATATACATTGGTGCTAGGGTTTCCAATAACAAAAATATTCATATATAGTACTGTACAGTGTATTATATATTTTTCATTCTCGGCCAATGCATGCCGATTTTTGAAAGTGTGATCAATCGAGGGACGGTCCTTTTAATCGGGTGACAACCGTAGGAACCAGCACGTGTGCCAAGGGCATAAAGCATATTTGCTCCTTAAAAATGCGGGGGCGGGGGAGGATCCCGCCATTTTTGCCATCTGGATGGTCTCGCTACAATCGCTCGGAGGAATGGGGAACTCAGGCAGGCACATGAGATAACGGGGGGAGACAGGTGGGGACCCCGGAGCATGTTAAGAGAGCTTGCTGTGACGGTTTGGGGGCAGGATCCGGCCCAAAGGAATGGCTTAGAAGTTCGGTGAATTCCAAAGGAGAGATTTAACCTCTCCAGGCCCCAGTGGAACTGAACTGTGGCCTTATTCTGCACCCCTCTCTCTCCTCTACGTGTGGACGAAGAAGGAAAATCTGTTGGGTTCAATGGGGTGTAATCGCAGGTAACGGGGCGCCCCGGGAGGAGCAGGAGAACCGGAAAAATCCCCCTCCCCTTGAGCTAGATCATATCCACTCTACTGTGTGTGTTTTTTCACTTTCACTTTCCTTCTGTCTTCAAAAACAAAAACACTGATTTATCGTCTCTCTCCTCCCATATTTGAAACGGGGCACCTGAAGTCTCATTTCTGTGTCCGATTTTTTTTTTTTTAAAGTCCTTGCTACTCCGGATTTAGAAGAGCGCCAGGCCACTCTTGCAAAAGCTTTAAAATAAAAATAAAATAAACGAAAAACGAAACCCTTGCCATCCGTTGCCCAACCAAGACCCCCGTTTCTCCTTCGCCACAACTTCACAAGCCCTTGACGCGTGTAGCCCATGCAGACGACCACGTCGGTTGGTTTCTTGTGAAAACTACGCGCATCTTCCCCTCTCGGTCTCCTGAGCGTTCGCAGGCCGCTTGAAGCGACACCAGGTCCGCAAGCGTGGTCGTCTGGATGGCTCGGCGTGCCCGCTGGCCCCTCCTGCCGCCCGCTGGCTCTAACGCTGTGCGCTCTTCCCTTCAGAAGGTTCTCCGTGCAGCGCTGTGCCCGCTGCCACCTGGGCATCTCGGCCTCGGAGATGGTGATGCGCGCCCGGGACTCGGTGTACCACCTGAGCTGTTTCACCTGCACCACGTGCAACAAGACGCTGACGACGGGCGACCACTTCGGCATGAAGGACAACGTGGTCTACTGCCGGGCGCACTTCGAGAGCCTGCTGCAGGGCACCGATCCTGCCTCCTACCCGCCTCCGCAGCTGAGCTACACCGAGCTGGCGGCCAAGGGAGGAGGCCTGGCGCTGCCTTACTTCAACGGCACCGGCACGGTCCAGAAAGGCCGGCCCAGGAAGAGGAAGAGCCCGGCCTTGGGCGTGGACCTCGTCAGTTACAATTCAGGTGGGTGGCGACCCCGCAACTAGCCTCCGGGGCTACCGCGGGGGGAAGGGAGGGGTCAGCCTTCCTCGAGGAACCAGTCGCCTAACTGGGTTGGGCGTGGGCCTCAAACTCGCCCTACACGCCTATAAAGGCCGATTCACACGTGACACGCCGCCGACACGGGGAGGGTGGCAAACTCGCTCGATTTCCCGCGGGTTGCTTCCTCTCTGAAACCCCCCTGGGAAGTGCTTAGTTCCAGAGAAGAAAGGCGGGGAAGGGGTGGCATCTTAAAGGTTAGCAAACTGGCTTGCATGAGCTTTTTGTGAGCTAGAGAGAATCAGATGCAGCGTAGGTAAAATATTCGGTGTAAAGAGGGCACGTCCCATTCAACTCCATGGGACTTAGTTCTTCTGACGCAACGTGTGCTCCATTGAATTCCCTCCCGTCCTTGGCATTTATTTTCAGATTTAGGTTAAGGAATCCGCCCAGAGAAAAAAATAATATCCCAAGCAGCTCACTGACCTAAGGAGGGGAAACTACCGGGATCCTTCTTATTTTCTCTAGAACGCTCTTTTTTTGCTCCTAGAGGACCGAATTACGACCTACTTTGACTTTAAAGATAGGACACAAATACCTTTTGATTTAATTTAACTCGACTTCACTGGGACACGAGAGTTTAGTTTGAATCAGAACAGAAGCAGCTTGCTTTCCATAGAGGTGGTGGTGGCGGCGCGGCGGCTGGGGGGCTAATTTTTAGTGCTTCCGAATGTCCAAAGCCCTCCACCTATTACTTCGTTGTAATCCTTGAACCAGCCCTGTAAGGTAGGCCACTATTATGAGCCCCAGGTGACAGATAAAAGCGAAGGAGAGGGGGATTTCCTTGAAGCCCCTTAAAGTTGTGTGGCAGAGGAGAGATCGGGGCTGGGGAATCGGATATGTTTCTTACGACGGGATCCTCTGAATGTCTGTTCAGAAGCAGGTTCCCCAGTGTTAAACGGGCTTTACTCCCAGCTAAATGCGCATAGCGCGCCTCGCTGAACTCAATGGGACCGACCTAGGAGAAGACGCGCGTAAATTTACGCACTAAGCTACAGCAACGAAAAGTCCATTTCTCAGCCATTTCCCTTCTCATGGCTGGCTGAGAATTAGGCGGCCCGATCAATTATACTTGCTGAAATATCAGCAATACCATATGTATTGTTTGGGAGATAAACAACACTTGCAATCCGCCTGAAACGCGAGTGAGAATTATTTTCTGGTGATAGTGTGACCATCATCGGGACGCACAGCCCAACCCCATTTTCTGCCGGGTCTAGTCCCGTTTCTAAGAGCCTAGAGTCCTTCCAGGTTTCAGGATATATTGGCCTCAATTCGAAACCGAGACGGCTGCCCCTCGGATGCGTAAAGGGGAGCGCAAGCCTCGGCGGGGCCCCCGCAGACTGTGCCGCGACCTCCAATTTAGCCGTGAAATCGCCCCCTCGGAGGAGGTCCCTGAGCATGAAATTTGTGGTTTGCTCGAATAGAGGCGCTCCGCGTTGCTTTGTCCCTGGCTGGATGGGTGGACGGTGAATGCGCGCAACTAAAGCTAAACACAGAGCTGGGTGTATGTTTGAGAGAATCTGAGCTCATAGGAGGCAAAAAAAAAATTAAAATTGGGTGGGTGGGGGAGAGTTGACCCTGTTGAATCTGGACCATTCTCAGGGAAAAGAAAGTCAGGGCCCGGGGTTTCTGTTTTGCAATACGGATTAACCTGAAATGATGCGCTCCGCTCTCCTAACGAACATGGGAATCTGCCTCATTCTGCCATCTATTGTCCACTAAGACTGGCAGCTGCTCCCCCAGGGCTTCAGATGGAGGGCATTCCCAGCCCTGCCTGGAGATGCCGGGGCCTGAACCCGGGACCTCCTGCCTGCAAAGCAGACAGATGCTGTGCCAGTGCGCTCCTGCTCCAATCCGCGCTAAACGAGTTTTGCTTGCTTGTCTACTGGAAAGCGCCTTGCTTCGGATTTCACTCTCCCGCGCTAGCTGGAGGCACGAAGCCTCTCCTTCTTTCCTCGGCCCCCCCCCACCTTTGGCAAGGAAGAGCGAGGCAATTTCGTGTCCTCTGATGCGGAGGGAGGGAGGGGGAGCTAGAAGAGGAGGAAGCCGAGTTTTAATTGTTGGCTGTTAATTGGAGATGACACTGGAATCTCTGGCAGCGGAGCCGCTTCTAGGCTAGGCGAGATGTAGGAAGGCGAAGCGAGAGAGCGCGCTGAGGCGCCTCTCCTCTCCAAGGGGGCTGGGCAGAAGGAGTGGGGGGGGGAGAGAGAGAGAGACTGAAGGAAGGGCTGGGGGGCTGGGCAAGGCACTGGGATTGCTTTCAGAGCGTGGTGCGTATTCATCCCACCCCAAACTAACAGAACCCCAGCCTATATATGGAATATAGATTTCAAACAATGCATGCACACAATCTTGGAACGGGCAGAAATCGTGGGGTTGGGCTGCAGTCCTGTTGCCCCTCACCTTAAACCATACCCCTCAACCCCCCATTTTCTAGTTTTTACTCTGAAAAATCATTAAGTTTCTAGCATTTGTAGAACCGGAGACAGGAGGCAAACGGTACGGATCTTCCCACTGAAAACGTAGACTGCTCCTCAGTTTCAAGGTTTTACTTTGCCCGCTCGGGGGAAAAAAAATCCTGCAACTGCCCAGCTCTGAACGACCCCAAAACATATTTGCCAGACAGAGAATCCTAGCTATCTTTTGAACAGGATTGGGCCACGATCCAGCCGAAATGGAAACATTTTTTAAAAGCCCCAGTACGGAGGAGCTTTCCGTTGCAATCTTATGCCTGGGTCTACTTTCCAGTAGAACACAGTGACATTTCCCTTCTGAGTAAATCCGCTGCCGAACAGCGCAATCCTATGCGCGTCTATTCAGAAAAAAAGAATCAGACATTACTCTCAGGTAAAAAGTACGTAGGACTTCAGAAGCCATCAAAGTGATTCGACCAGGTTGGATTGTACCATTTTCCTCCCACACCAGAATCACGACCCCCTGTTGTTTGAAAATAGTTGATTTCAGTGAAGGCTTAAGTTCCTGCCTTGGGCAACTTTCGTTAAAGGCTTGGAAGCATCGGATTCGTTGCGATCATTCCTTTTCGCTTCAGAGCGTCTCTCTCTCTCTCTCGCTCTCTCTCGCTCTCTCTCTCCCTCCTTTTTCAAGGAACAAAGCAACCCTCCCTAGAAAAATCGCTCTTAAAAAACAGAGCACTTTTCCCCCCAGAAGGAGACAAAAGAAAAAGTGTTCCGTGTTTTCTGGAAAGTCATGTTAGTTTGGAGATAGAGAGCGAGAGACAGAGCAGACAGATGGAAAAGACTATACCAAGGCGGCGTGCGCTAGTTTAAGGGCTTCCAACTTCTCTCCAAATGAAAATCGGCCCTCATTCGTTTGGATGTCGTGTGTAAGAGAATTTCCCTGAGGATCATGTCCACAACCGGTTAAATATAATAAACTGGATAGGGAGGGGGTGGGGGAAAGAGGAGTCAAGTTGGCGTTGTTCATCTTTTGATGCTTACTCTAATTTGGCTGGGAAAGTGAAAGGCAAAACCCCAAACCACTGGAGTGGGTTGTCCTCAAATTAGACAACCTGCCTCTTTGTAATAACTCTGCTATTTATTGCAGAGCAGATCCGTGTCTCCAAAGGGAGGCAGAAGGAACTAGCCTAGAATGTTGCTGAGTTACAGAGAATTAAACCTTAATCGTGAACACACATGATATCTGCAGAAATAAGGGCCATTTACATTAATTACAGACAGGATTGTGGTCTGAAGGTCCCATGGTTTTCAACAGGAGAATGAAGCACCTGCTTACATCTTTGCCCAAATATATGAATTTTTTTTAAGTGCTTAAGATTGGTTAGATTGCGTGCAAAATGAATACAGAGCACTTCCTTATTTCAGGATGTAGAAATAAGCAAGTGCTCCAATCATACAGAAATGATAAGCTAAATCTCAGTTTTCTACTCTGTTTCTGATCAGAGTTACTAGGAAGTAAGAATAGCAAGGCAATAGTGCATTCAGAGAGTCAAGGCTGTCATCCTTCTCCCTTAGTTTTGTTGTTGTTGTAGAGGAACTGGTTCATTTAGCACAGGTGTGGAGAACCTTTGTCCCCCCCACCCCATGTTAATGAACTACAATTCCCATCAGCCCTAGCAAGCATGCCTAATGGCCAGGAATGATAGGAGGTGTAATCCAGTAATATTTGGTGAGCTAAAGGTTCCCCATACCTGATTTAGCTGGAGGAAAAAACCTGGCAACAGCCTACTTCATTAGATGTGAAGGTACTGCCTATGAAATCTCAAGTCAGATAAGCCACTTAGCAGCACAATCCTGTGCATGCCTACCTAGAAGTAAGTCTCATTGAGTTTGGTAGAGCCTACTCCCAGGTCAATGGGTACAGGATTGGCACCTAGGTCATCTTTGCACAATGCCACCTCTCATTTTCCCCACACCTATAATGCAAAAAAGGTAAATCTGACCAAAGTAGGTACCATGTTTAGAAACAGCTACCTTCTGCTTTCTGTTCCCCATTAACAAGATTCTAAAGGATACACAAATAGGGGGGATGAGGTTCCAATGTGCTGTTAGGGGAGTGTGTGTGTGTGTGTGTGTGTGTGTGTGAGAGAGAGAGAGAGAGAGAGAGAGAGAGAACCATCTACTTGCCTGTAATGGGCCACTTTGGATTTCCACCCATCCCAAATGCATCCCTGATCTCTAATTCCTAGCGATGCAAGCTCCCGGGTAAAATTGCAGGTTCCAGATGGAATTCTGTGTATGCATCTTTGGGTGTAATGGTGAAACCCTGGAAGGAAATTCCACCGAGCTCTATAAAACTTGTTCCCAGTTGTGTGTATAGGACTGCAGCTGAAGTCACATTGAATAAAACGGGACATGCCTTTTGGAAAATGTGCATAGATTTGCATTGTTACTTAGAACTACAAGCTGACTGCAATGTGGTCCAGTTTCCCATATTATGGCATC